TCATTTCCCTCAACAACAACAACAACAAATTATTACCTGGAATGTTATTTGAAAGGTAGCGAAAACTTCGATAAATTGTAAAATATCAATAGCCGTAAACTATACACAAGGGATTGAATACATGTATGTTACTTTAAATAATCTTAAAGATCAGTTATTTGTATCAGAATAGTAACTCACTGAAAATAATGGTGGATGTGTCGCTCAGTTTCGTGGATTAGTTGAGGTTAGACATTAACACCGATAGGTCCTGGCTTCGAATCTCGCGAGGCTAGGTCGTAGATGTGCACTGCTGGGGAGTCCTACAATAGAACGAAACGGCCGTCCATTACTTCCACGATTTCAATGGTGGTCTAACAACAATCAGTCTATGATCTCAATCAGAAATATATATATTTGACTGAGTGCTAACGTAAATCTTTAGTGCGACCTACCTGAATATCTGGTCTACCTATTCCTGTCATTTGAATATTTCAACAAGTTATCTGTTTTCTTGTTTGCTTTAACATATCATTATGTCTATTAGTCTCATAACCTATTCAGGTTCATTTATGTAAAGTTTATTACATTTCGGTATACAAGTTACAAAAGGCCAAATCAGTGATACTGTGTTTGCTAGCAATATGCATCTAAAAGTATATACATTAATCAGATGTCAATTCCTGAATTGCTAATATCTAACTGGCGACTGTGAAGCTGGGTGACACGGGATCGAATCCGCCAGGGAGCACCAGTTCCCTAAAGATTACAGGTACACCTTGCTGACGAGTGCCAAGTAGCACGAAACCCGGGTCCAAGGTTTCCTGTCGACTACCTCCAACCACCATCTAATTTATCGTATTTTAACAAAATGCAATAATAAAGAGTAGCCTATTTTTCCGTTTGTATTAGAGCCTAGTTTAAACATTCAAATTCACTGTAACATTGTCTAGAATAATGAACAACTATTATGTATCTCATTTATTGTACAATGAGTAACTTAACGTGACTAAATGATTGAAGAATAATTCTTACGTCTAAGCATTGTTTTTTTCTGATACATTCCAATGGTAGATAGTAGTGGCATTCAGGGTGTACGTTACAAATCCTTTCAGATCTTTGTGATAGTAAGTAATTTTAACTGGTTAAAAATTGTCCAAATCAGATTTGAGTTGGTTACTACCTTCTGACACTGAATATACATACTGTTATGCTCAAAACTGAATAAAACATCAGTAGACTACTGATATTTAAGTAAGTAGTAAAGCTCATCTGTAAACCGAGGTTACGATTACATATTATAAAAGCATTTATCTTTTGTTTGATTTTCGTCTCCTTAGTTTTTTAAAGCTGAAATCAATGGTTTATGATGTATTAAAGGTTTATCAAGGATTTATAAGTTTGAAGGTAACCGTGTCTTAACAACAGTATCATACTGATATATATATAAACCTTTACATACCTGGGTAGAATCATTGATGAACACGGTGGATCTGATGCACATGTGAAGGCGCGGATCGGCAAAACAAGTGAAGCATATTTAAAACTGAAGAACATCTGGAACTCACAACAACTGTCTGTCAACCAACACAAAAGTTGGAATTTTCAATACAAATGTCAAGATAGTTTTAATGTATGGGGCGGAAACCTGGAGAACTACGAAAGCCATCATCCAGAACATATAAGTGTTTCTTAACAGCTGTGTACGCAAAATACTTTGGATCCATTGGCCAGACACTATTAGCAACAACCTACTGTGGAAGAGAACAAACCGCATCCCAGAGGAGGAAGAAATCGGTGAGAATCGCTGGAAGTGGATAGGATACACACCAAGGAAAGCACCCAACTGCGTCACAAGGCAAATCCCTACATGGAATCCTCAAGGCCAAAGGAGAAGAGGAAGATCAAATAACACATTACGCCGAGAAATGGAAACAGACATGAGAAGAATGAGCAACAATCGAATAGAACTGGAAAGGGGGGTTGGAGAATCCTGGTTGGGTACTTATTGTTATCATTTAGACCTAGATTTTATGCTAATAGTCGCTCATTAATAATGTGCATCAATGACCTTTTAAGGTCATATGGTCGGTCGTATTTAAACTAGTATAAACTTGTATTGAAGCTCTGTATGTTATTAATATAATATTAGAATAATAGTTGAAGTTTAGACCACAATCGAGTAATGTTGGAAATTGATCGAAGTCAAACAAATAAACCAGTGGACGTCTACTCAGCGGTCTGAATGGTGAGTAATCGAGGAGACATGGTTCGAGATTCAATCTCGTTGGAGTGGTGAACATGAATTCCTGAGAAGTTCGATAATAGAATGGTAAAACTGGTCGATGCTTTCGGTTTTATAATGTTTGTCTAACTTGGGGTGATTCGTGAACTTTTATGAAATGTTAGACCAATCTTCACAAGCCCAATTGCCAAATACGATACGGGATACACTTTTTCATTACTGAATCTTGTGAGTAATTGAAATGATAATGATCAACTCAATCATCAAGGGTGTTTGACTTAAGCCGTAAATTTGAAACCCGTTCACTAGCCCTGGAACTTAGTGTCTCAAAGTCATGTACCTTGTAAATGAATTGTAGAGTAAGTAAACAGCCATTCTTTGGAAAATTAGACCATCAACGCTGTACATCGCATCCCTTAAAAATAAAAGCAACTTCTTGGTCAGTCAAGTGCACTCATCGTTTGGCTGATTTCTTATTGGCCCAACATACCAAGTGTTTATTATGGATTACAATTACGATGTTTTAAATGTATAAGTCAAATAACTTTCCGATCATGTATCTGGGACTTCAAGTTACATCTTTTAAATGAACAGGCTAGCAACGCTGTACATCTCAAAATAAAGGTCATTACGTAATCACACTCAACAAATGCTATTCACTTTTACACGTAAAATAGAAATCAACATTTACTCGAGAAAACCAATTCAATTTTGTAAAGCAATTCTTGAGACGTATCAAACTAGTACAAATGTGAGATCTAACAATTATCTCTTCGGTCAGGTTTACAAACCGAAAAATAAACACTAAACGAGCTATAAAGTCGTGCATTATTCACAAATATTTGTGAGATAGTAACTCACTGATGACAATGGTGGATGTGTCGCTCAATTTTGTGGATTGTTTGAAGTTAGACATTAACACCATTGGATGCCAGCCAGCTCAGTGGTGTGGAGATTAGGCGTTCGCGCACGAGACAAGACCGATTCGTCCTAAGTTCGAATCTCGCGAGGCGGGATTGTGGATGGGCACTGCTGAAGAATCCCACAATTGGACGAAACGGTTGTCCAGTACTTTCAGGTTTTCCATTGTGGTCTAGCTTCAATTGACTCATGATCTCAACTATTGAAATATCCAAATACTTTCATTCGATTTTGGATTTTCTCAACAGAAAACTGTTTTCGACAAGACAGAAAAGATTACATCACATAAAGTGATACAAGATTTCAAATATCAGATGAGATTGAATAATAATCAGGCAATTAAAGAAGAATAGGAGGATAAAAATCATTTACAGGCCAGAATTATGAAATATAATTGTCCACTTAACAAATAAGATTTTTATACAATTACTCGACGGGTTATTTCAATTATCTAAATACTATCTAGTCAACCAGGTACAAATTCGTATAGTAATGGTTGTTGGGAACGTCTCAGATTTTAGCTGATTGGCAAACCAAGGACCTCATTCCTACAATTGAATAAAATATGGAACTCGAAACAACTGTCAACCAATATCAAAGTCAGAATCTTCAATACCGACGTCAAGACAGTTCTATTGTACGGAGCTGAAACTTGGAGAGCTACTACAACCATCATCAAAAAGGTACAAGTATTTATAAACAATTGTCTACACAAGATACTCAATGTCCGTTGGTCGGATACCATCAACAACAGCCTACTACAGGAGAGGACAAACCAACTTCCATCTGAAGACGAAATTAGGAAAAGACGATGGATGTTAATAGGAAATACATTACGGAAATAATCAAACTGCATCGCGAGACAAGCGCTAACTTGGATTCCTGAAGGGAAACGGAAAAGAGGAAAGTCAAAGAACACATTGCTTCGGAATCGGAAGCAGACATCAAAAGTGTGGATAGCTTCTGGAAACAACTGGAAAGGACTGCCCAGGACAGAGTTGGATAAAGAATGCGGGTGGGAGGCCTATGCTCCTCCACGAGAGGTAACAGGTATAAGTAAAACTCTTCCTTGTGTTAATAAATTATAGTTTTAACAAACATCTGAAAGTCTCTGTAACTTTTTAATCCATATTATCATACGCGATATTTGCTACTGTTAGACTGACGACTCCTTTTGTTTTTAGCTTGCCGTTTTTGTTCTGTTACTCATCGAACAGACTAGAGTGAGTAGATTCTACATTTATTATGAAACATTTCTGATCATTCAGGAAATAAAACAATCATAAGCTATGTCACAATAGAGCATTAACTTGAAGGCATACTTTAAATGTGTGGAAATCTATTGGTTTCGACCGTCTGCTTGTCCAGACTAAAACACATAAACATTGGTACAAGGAGGCACCAAATACATATGCGCAACATAATCACTTGATTTGTGTGTGGGCTGGGATACTGCCCGGGTGCTCAAACCGAAGCAGGTGGTTGTCTAAGGGGGCCATACCCAGAGTCTTCCACCTAAAGGTCTGGTCCACAAGGTAGTGGAACAACGTCATGAGATGCAGTCACATGGTAGCCGGTCACCAACGACTGGTCCATACCCACCAACACGGTTAAAACACCAGACATTCGATTTTCGTCTTCTCAATTCCGTAAACAATAGTAATGCTGCGAGAAGGCAGTGAGTAGGACTTCCCTGACAGTGGTTGTATGCACGTGGCCAAGTGAGAGCATTTCGAAAGGGAGAGACGACTCTCCCCACTCTCGGCCGTACCACGGCATTTGGGAGCAAAGTAGAGATCAAACTTGACTTTATCATTGAGTCACATATTCAGTAAGTAGTACAAAATTGAAATGTAACGAAAAAGAAGAGATTAAATTATATTCTGAAATGAAAATATGACAGGATTGACAGGGTGTTGACATGGAATAATGAATAAAGATGGAATTGACAAATGATAAAGACGATCATAGAAATGTACATGTACAAGTATATATATTCACATAAGGAACTTGTAAAAGTGCAGTATTAATAACAATCTACACTTTACAATAGGATTAGTTCTCTCAATAGTTAATCTTTTTCTGATTACAATAAAACCAAGAATGATTTGTGAGATGGTGAAGTTATTCTATTCAGATTTATTTGGCCATATTGCATATCGTCCTTGTTTTAATTGCTGTACAGTTACACGACATATTCCATGATCTGAACATCTTCGTATAGCTATGTCTTGAACACCAATAGATGCTATTGTACCAGTGCATCGATGGCTTGAACCATCACGACCTTCTAAGATAACTGAAGCACCAATCTGATAGCTTGATGTTCAAATAGAAAGCAAATATTAGTACATATATTACGAAGCTAAAAGCAATGATACTAGTCAATGAATTGATCATTTAGTCTTAAGCAAAATAAACATAATAAGACATGATGTGTATATACATACATGAATTCGAGTTGTCACATTTCACACTAACATAACGAAAATAATGAATTCATCATAAATGATTAATTTGACTTGATAGTACGGTTCACTTGGTGATGCGAAGCAATTAAGTTTATACTCATCAGTTTAGGGGTTGTGGAGATTGCTAAGTTTTTGATTGAGATCATGAACTGATTGATGTTAGACCACCATTGAAAACCTGGAAGCACTGGACATCCGTTTCGTCCTATTGTGGGACTCTTGTTTGAAATATTTGTTTTCTTAAAGTTGTACAATACTACACAAGTTGGTTGGAGAGTAGTAAGACGAAAATTAGTAAGTAACAACATCTAAAGATGAAAACAGTTTGATGAAGACAATACACGGTTATCATTGCAGTAAAATGTTTCTCATGAAAAATAAGATATTCCTAATTACCCTATTTGTTGAGAGAAGGGAGAGTTACAGAAACAGTACATCTCAACCTTGCCGTGCGGAATTCCATTACAGATAGAAGGATTTGTAAAGTACATAATGAACCCAACAAAACACCTAGTGTGAAAAGAGCTTAAACAGCAGTTTCTTGGGTTTTGCACTCATATTTTCAGATCGCCTAAATCAGCGAAGCTTGTGAAGATGTATTCACTTTAAAGATATCCTACACTATGAACTGACTGATTTTAGAAAGAAAAACAACTGAACACTAAACGTCACTAAACAGATGCTTCGTTCTAGTAAGGATATTCACAACAATCTCCGTGAACAGTCTTCTGAGTAAACAAGCATATGACTTAGAGGGACTGATAGTGAGCAAATCACCTTTTACACCATTAACTTGTCATCAAAGGGTTTGTGCTATCAACTTCAACTAAATCATCTAACATAACAACTATTATCTACTAGCATTTAAGATACCTGTCACATTTCCGATATAAATAAACTTCAATGGTCACCGCTTTCATTAAGACACCAAGGATAATTCTTAAACTTGGTCATTAAGGAGACTTCAAAGTATTCTGTTTCTTTTCCTTTTATGAATAAATTGAAATTCTGACGAGTAGATAGACCTTTGAAAAGAAATTTTCAATTGATATTGTCCTATAGATCTTTGTTATTTTATATTAATCGATTGTTTACTTCCTTGTCTAGTTTGTTACATGCCTTCAAGATCATTGTTGTTACATCACAAAGACAATCGTTGTATTGCATTTATGTATCTCTTCTTAAAAATACAAAGGCTTCCACAAAAGCTCCCATCATTTTTTCTCTTTTTTTCATATATGGATGATTAATATCAAACGGTTGTGTATTCGTCATGTGAACTAACTAACTAGCGTATATACTGTTCATTTGTGCCTTGGAACAAATAGATAATTATCAAATCATGACAATAGTTTGTGGTTATTATTAGTATTTATGATGATGTAACGCAGCGTTCTTATTTGATTCCACAATCGGAAATATCAAATGACTCAGCATAAGGCATAAAAGTTCCGAGTTAGATTTGTAATGATTTCTTGGGTACGCAATGATTAGAAGTCGTATATGAAACAACTATCTAGTGATCGTTATTTTGTAATGGTTGTCTGTCTAAAACTAGTAGTCGTCAAGTAGAATTATGAAACTTTTCTCCGGTAAACTCAAGTAGAATAACTCATCATAAATTACATGTCTTAAATAAGAGATCAACACATACTACACCTACAAAAACCTGTAAACCAACAATTCCCTTGACAGTAACAGTATTTGCTTCAGGAAAAAACAATTTTATAATCTCAGTTAAACTGTTTCAAAGAAAAACGCTGAACCGAAATATCATACCATTTATGCCCGCAGTAAAGTCGTCCATCGTCTATCCATACAGAAAACGATGTATTTGACTGGTTATTCATGGATGAATTAGTTCCAATATGACCGGTACCAGTTGTACGTGCACCTGTTCGTGTTACTGACAAGTCACCAACACTTGCACTATTGAATGAATTAGGCGAACCCATTGAATGAGATGAAAATAACGGTGTATTCATAGGTGTTGTATTGGAATCTTTTGTCAGTCTACTTGAGCCACAATTATCTTCATAACATTTACCTAAGGAAGGACTTAACGGACTATTACAGCATAATTGAGATGTATTCGAAGTATTATTAGGAGTATAATTGGAATTGTTGCTTGTAGTATGTGAAGAATGCTTACGACTACCGCTACTCATTGATGTTCCATTGGGAATATTTGAAACTTTCGAACAAGCTCTGTTGTAAAATGATTTAGGGGAAAATAAAGATGAAGATGATAAAAAAAATTAAACAGAGATAAAGACAGAATCATATTATGGCCGTATTATATTTTATTGATATAGAATTAACCCAAGCTAAACTTATTTTGGCAAACACCGAAAACAACTTAGTAGATGAGTTTTTTATTACTAGCGAGTAGACTGTTACTGCCAAAATCAATGTGAAATCTCCAAATCTTCATGAAAACCTACTTGTTGGGTTAACAAAAAGCTATCTCTCTCCAAATGACAAACATCTTCAAGCTGTTTTGTTCTTTGTTTAATTCAAACGAAATCTGATCTAACTGGGAACCAAAAGTAGACTGTGTCAAACAATATAATATGTGTGAGGGTTAAGATATTGAGCAGATACCGAAATCTAAGCAAGTGGTTTTCTTAAAGAGATGATCACCGAAAAAAAGGCAATATCTAAATTAAGGACATGATGTTTCATAGTGGTCATTGACGTAAAATAGGTTTATACATCGTGAGTGCCCTCATGATCCTAAAACCCACGTATACTGCTGATCTGAAAGCAGTTTCTCAGCTCCAATAGGTGGATTATCCATATCCACTAATATCCACAAACATCCGCTTTTCGTAGCCTCACCCTTTTAAACAACAGCGCTGCGTGAAGGTAATGAGTAAGACATCCCTGACAGACGCTATAGACACGACACGGTATGACAGTGTTTTGAGTAAAAGAGCGGACTACCTCCTGTCTCAATCACATTAGGGCAGTTGAAGGATAAAGTAACCACATTAGTAAAGTTTAAAGTTAATCAAAAAGTATGTACACTGACAAGTAAATGAAAGAACTTATGTTTGTCTTCACGATTTCTCCTTAAATTGAATACTGATTACAATTACATCATAGTGGATTGAAATGTCAGAAACTTGCAAAAGGTTATTATAGTAAATAACTAATGTATTTATCATAACATTTGGAGATTCCAATTATAGCATGAATTGATTAATTCATTAATGATGTCACATAATGTTTATAATGTATTGGGAATCTAATTACAGGGAAACTTAAATAGTACCATTTAGGAGGTTCATATATTTACCTTGTCACTTTTATGAAGTAACATGCAATAATTAAAACACAATTAACAAGATGTCTAAAAATTAGGTCTTAATTGACTGTACAGAGTCAGTGATCTAGAAACTAATTCCCTTCAATCGTCTATAACAATATATCATGTTAACTTTGTGCGAACAGCTTATGTACGATCATCTAGCTTTATCACATAAGTAATCTACATTTTTAATGAATGGTCATGCCTTACATTTCAAATGATTCGAAAATTTACATTGATAATCCGGTCTTGTGAGCAAATACCATTCAACCATCATAACTCTATATATATTCAATGACGAAAAGAGTTGTCAAGCCATGCAAAACTTAGACCTAACACGTCAAAAATACTTTTCCCTAAATTTGTAATAATCTAAATGGGTTATATATATGCCCCCAAATGCCCTGGTATGGTCGAGAGTGGGGTGGGCCCGCCCTCCCTCTCGAAATGCTCTCACACGGCCACGCGTATACAGCCTCTGCCAGGGAAGTCCTACTCACTGCCTTCTCGTGGCGAGGGTGTTGTTTACGAAAATGAGAGGAGGAAAAGCGAATGTCTGGCGCTTTAATCGGATTCCAAACCAATGGTGCACATGGGCTCCAGTATCCTGCGGGAACAAATGGCGTATGAACCAATCGTTGGTCACCGACTACCATGGGACTGCATCTCCTCACGATGCTCCACTGCCTTGTGGGTCAGACCTTCAGGTCGAAGGCTCGGGGTGTGGTCCCCTAGGATAACCACCTGCTTCGGTCTGGGCATCCGAGCAGTATCACAGCCTGCATACAAATATGATGAACTGTCGATAATTATTGAAAATACTTTTCTTGCTTCAACTATTAATCAAACGATTCACATTATTATTATTATTATTATTATTATTATTATTATTATTATTATTTACTACGTCATTTATTCACTCTCTTTTATTCCTACTCTGTCTATCCTTATTTTTCGATTTATGCAGCAGCTCGTCTATGGTGGAAATCCGGTTGTATCTAAACGTTCTCGAGTAGAGACGTTATCAGATATGGCTCGGAATAGAAGCCAGTGGCGATCTTGCTGTAACCTTTTACTTTCTTCATAAAAAGTGGTTGCTTCTTCCTTAACTGAAAGATCTCTTCTGAGTGTACGTTTCTGTTTCCCCCATTATTATTAGTATTACACTACCTTACACTAATCTGTTCGTTATCGTTTGTTTTTTTTATGCTCCTTGCCTTTTTTTTCCTTCTCTGCAAATTCTCATTGTTTTGTGTGGCGCATATATATTTGGTGCCCTCCTGTACCAATATTTATGTGTTTAAATAAATAAATAAAAATATTACTATATACCATATATATCTGTGAAATTTTATCATAGTATCTTACCTATGAATAATTGTCAAATCTGCATAAATCTCATGTTCCGGTAATAAAAGATTTAATTGTGCACTAGGTGCAGTATTCTGATGACGTCTTTTACGAATAGACGTTGATGAAGAATGAATATGATTGTTATTAGTATTATTTAGAAGTGGTACTAGACCACAACCAAGTGCAGTAGCTGGAGAGAGTCTGATGTTATTTGACAAACCAATGGTTCCAGTACCATTTGATGGCATAATAAGACCAGCTGCAACAGCTGCCACAGCTACTGCAGTAGAATTACATGATGAATTCACTGCTACACCTCCATTAGTTAAAAAGTCACCGACATTATTTATGTTGTCTGGTGTGTTTGATATACAATATGAAGGGTTCGTATAGAAATTTGTCAATGATGTGTTGTTATTCATGGAAGCTAATAAATGTGATAACAAACTTCCATCAAAGGGGTTTAAACCTAAAGTACCAAATATGTTTGACCTAGAAGTTGAATTGAACGTGGTGCTAGTTATGGAAGTTGTAATAGGCATCGTCGCTGTTGTGGTTAGTGCCGACGTTATTGATAATGATGACGATAATGCGGTCGATTGGAATACTGATGACGTCGTATTACTGCATGAAATTCCCGTTACATCACTTAAAGCATTCTCTTTAGGTTCATTCTCTAAATTTGATGACGATTGGATTGGATCGGTATTTTCATCATTGCTATTTGCAATAGCACTAGAACTGTATGAATCATTTGAATTGGGTTTCTGTAATCTTGTACTCAAGTTCGAATTCACTGGCCAATGTGAACCACAAAGAAGTAAGTCACCCCAATACATGAAATTAGCTGGATTTGAAGCGGAAACATCATTTCCGCCCCCCGAGCCGACGCTAACACCACTACCAACCCCACCTATAGCGCGTCTTCTCAACTTCCGAGTTATCGCAGGTTTAAATTCAAGAATATCTAAAAATTATTAATTGGATAACACACTTCCATCAGAAATTGAATGGATGATAATTCACGACACTGAGACACGAAAAAATCAAAATTTAGGTATACATATTACTGCCATTTTGGCTAATGAAAAAGAAATTCGAAGTAAAGACTTATTGATTTCAAACTAATGAATTTGAAACCGAATGAAGTGCCCGTTTCCTTTACCCACTGCTTGGCAGGGGTATTTCTAGAACACTGGGCCAATAAGAATGGCCTGCGTTCTAGGATCTAGCACAGATTGAAAGCTGGCTGAATTAACATGGAAGTGTGTGGAATGGTGGAATAATGACTAGTGAACTTGATTTAAACTGATAAGCCGTAGGTTTGAACCTCACTGAATATAACATGGTTTAGGTAGTTCAGTAGTATCACTCACACATGAAAAATGGTCCTTAGAAATGAGTTTGCAAACTATGCTACGTAAATGATTACAATTACATGTTGAAGTACACACATCGAATTTCCAATTAATAAATAAGATGTTGGAAATATATCCACAAGATATATCTACGATATTGGAGCAGTGGTTCAGTGGTTGAGGAATATGACTTTTAGAAACTGAAAACTAGTAGCAATAACAGTGAATATGATTCAGTAGGACAGAATAAAAAGTATGTGTGAAAAAATAATTGAACTGAAGATCTAGAGAAAGATGAATAGTGAATACGTTTAAGCCAATATGACCACTTCGGATCCACGTTACTCAACATCTCCAACCACTGGTAGTAGTTATTACCAGAATATCAACCAGGTCGTCTACACCTACAGTCAATGTTTTCATGGACTGATACCATGTTTTGGTCTGACTCTACTGGTCCTCTTAGAAATTACTTCTACTCTATCCAACATGGAACTCACAATGAGTGTTATCCAGTGCTATGCACTTGCCAATGATCGCAATGAAGACAACAGAGATCAGTTTTATGGGAGGCTGCAGTGGATCGTAGAGAAGTGCTCAAGAGACGATCTGACAGTCCTGATGAAAAATCTAAACGCAAAAGTCGGAATGGACAATACCGGGTATGAAGATATCATGGAACGACACGGACTGGTAGGAAGGAATGAAAATTGAGAGATTTGCAAATCTATGTGCATTCAACAAAACAGTTATAAATTGTACTATATTCCCCCACAAACATACACACAGAGCTACATGGTTTTCACCGGATCACACTAAAGAGAACCAGATTAATTATGTTTGCATCACTAATGAAAGTCAATGGAAAACGTGAGAGCAAAGAGAGGAGCTGACAGCTTCATATCACCACCTGGTGGTTCGCAAGATGAAACTGAAGTTAAATAAAGACTGGACAAATAGCATTACAAAGGTTTAATATAGCCTTCCTTCAAGATACTGATACTGATAAAGCTCAATGAAATAAAGATAGCTCTCAGAACCAGGTTGCAAGCCTTACAAGTAAGCATCCAACATACCACTTTGAGCATAAATAATGTATTTCTAAACCACCTTATTGGATTAAGATCCAAAACCTCATCAACTAATTTATTATTTTTGTTCATAACACTATGCTTAACTTCAGCATTCCGTTGCTTCATGATTTCAGTTGATGCAAATAAAACACATATTACTAACACATAGGAATAATCAAGCGATTACGTTTAAATCTTCCTCTCAACTATTATTATTATTATCATTATTATTATTATTATTGTTATTATTATTATTATTATTATTATTATTATTATTATTATTATTATTATTATACAATATAGTACCCGATCAAGATCCATAGCAGAATAAAAACAGACATTATTAACGAATTATGTAATCCGGCGAAAAATTAAAGGAAAATAAAGCTGTCTGAATACGACCAACTAACCTCCACTTGGAGTCAATTCAATGCTTCTCTTATCATGTTCCAAACGTCGTTTCAGTTCTTCACATAATGATACTAAATAAGCTTGAATTCGTCGTTTCTCATGCTGATATTGTTTATGGAGAGAGAGAGAGGGAAATAAGGAGGCGAAAGGAAGAAGACATATATAAAAGGATCCATTCAGTTCAAAAAGAGATGACCTACCTCACAATCCCGATCACATGCTTCAGCTTCTTTTGTATACTCACGATAAATAGTATCTAACTGTTAATAGAGTAATTATTTAAAGGAAGTAAAATAAGGTGAAAGAAATGTGATATGCTCAACAACAAGAAAACTATCTGATCTTAATTTTGTCCGTTAAATGCAGTGATATGATATTACATAATCTTCATCAATTGAAAAACTAAAAGTAACTATATTGGTCGCTTCATCATGCTTTTTAAATTGGTCAAAAAATACACATTTTCGATACATGCAGAATTGAACCAAGAGCCTTTAGGTATAATACTTTTAGATCATCGAATCAAAATTCACTGAACTCTAACTCTGCCTCTGTTAATTTGTGTGGGATTAGCATATAATAACTATGTTACTTATACTTAACTAATAATTTATTGAACAATTTCTCTCCTACGTGGAATTAGCTTATTGTAAACCACACTCTCAGTAATGAAATCAATGCATCCTTCTGGCTGAATTGAGTAAGTTAACTTTGTTTATTTGAACACATTTTGGTGAGAATGGGCACCAAAATATATATGCAGAACATACATCATTGTGTTGTAACGGGTGACTGCAGGTTTTGATAAGCAGCGTTTATATCGATCGATTTAGTGGCACGTAAACACGTAATGAACGGCCTAGAGTCCTGATTGGTCCCGCTTCCCTGTCTAGCCCAGCCAGTTGAGTCCAGAACGCAAGTCTTAGCCTCTGAGATATGAATCGTTATATTTCAAACATACTCTGTTTATATACCAACCAAACAGACCACATCGTACCATAGAAATAGAAAACAACATCTGTACAATATTTAACGAGTGAAATAAATAATGGCCAATAGGGAATGCCCATTTCGAGTCCAAGGACATCATTAGACTTAACACGATAATGATTAGTATATTCCTCAGCATCCCTAACACATTGGATTTGTGAGTGGACTTGGATACTGCTTGGTTGTTTAAACTGAACGTGATTTCCTTGGAGAGCCACTCCCTGAACCGGTCTTTAAAAAGTTCCCACTTAATTCTTTAGAGTTAAAAATTTTGTATATTAGACTAGACTTCCAATGGTGTTGCTAGCGGGATACAGGTTGGATTAATGCATGTTTCGTGCAGGAATACGTTGGGGCACGCTGACTGGCCACTTCTTAGATAATTAGAGCCGATGAATACCTGGAAGAGACTTTATCTTTTTGTGTAAAATTATAAATATACTAAATTTTTTCTTGTTGTGATCCCTACTTTCATTCGACCTTGTATATTTGGAACATAATTACGTTACTTCTCAATTGTGTTTTCATTTCAAGACTTGTCGAGTTAAATAGTGTCCGGAGAATACTAAGCAACAACAGTAGATGGGTCTTAATACGGGAGATCATAACATGTGCACATTCTGGTGATAAGTTTTAATCACAAACTATCTACCATTCTGTATTATAAGCTTATTTCGGAGCTATAAGCATCAGTTGTGTAAACAAACATGGTATGACTCTAAACTCTCACCAAAAACTAATATCGCTTAGTGATTAGCCGAAATTAACCCACGAATTTCACTGGAAACAACAGCTATCTCATTAGAGATGATCATCAAGAACTGATCAGAAACAAATTTTGATTAGCGCAAACTCTAAAGTCTTAACCTGTGTAACAGCAAGGGATACAATCTGGATGTTCAGACTAAAGCAGATAAAGTGGAATGTGAATCCATAACTTCATCACAAATAGTCTAGCAACTTAACCACTAAGCCACCGACCAATAACTTCCAAATAACCATATAAACAACTTTTGCTTAAACATAAATGTAGACTGTTCCTCTAATAATGAATAACACTTCCCACACATTGGATGGTTATGTAGTTGTTGGTATAATTAATTTGGCTGATTCCAACTAAACCTCCTAACCTGTCTATTGATACACAACGAGAAATGACAATCAAGGTTGTTAGCTTGAAGCAAATTTTTTATCTATAGTGTGTGCCATAACTTATAAATGATGATGTTGAAGCAGCAAAATAAAATCTCTTATGCTTACTTTGTGTTCATGTAGAATTTGAATACGTTGTTTTTGTTCCGAATACCAAGTTTCGATTTCTTCACGAATTTTCACAAATTCTATCGATTATATCCCAGTCATATACAAAAAGAATATTTGAATTACCTGGATGAGTTTTGTTATCCAATTGATCTAACTGAGTCTGAATATTAGCTACTTCTGTATTGTATGTATCTTCAAAATCATCGCTCACATCACTAAGATCTTCTTGTACACTGGTTGGCATTACTGGTGCTGACACGTAAGCAGATTTTTCTGTATGCTTCCTTTTCATTCAAATCAAATTTACTAGTAACCTCCCACTATAAAAAAGAAACATTATTCACGTGATTGACCACAAGAACATGACATAAATGGAAATGTGTGTCAGTGAAACTACAGTAATCTTCAGTGATACACTTGCAGAGTGAAAAATCAAAAGGAATGAAAAGTTTTTACTAAATTTGTGCAATAAACTAGTATTTCGCAACTGTGGATTTGGTACAGTGAACGAGATTACTTTCACTCCTTTCTCGCCAGACCCATCAAAATAGAGTGAAAAGTTTGGTTTCAAAATGGAAGGTTAGTTGATTATGACCGTAGTAGGATTAAAAATACGTTTCACTCAATAGGTTGCGACGATTACATTTAATGAACTTAATTACTGTTATTAAACACGAGTCACTGTGAAAAAGGACTTAAATTCCACAAAGTAATATGATAACAACATGTTGAAGGTTGACTCTTCACCTTAAATTCGCCTTCAAATGATATTAATTGCCTTCTTTATAAATTGCATTTGGGGATCGTACATTCCCAACCGTATTGCAAAGTGAGCAGTGATTTGTTCAGCAGGAAAAGTAGGAATGAAAGTATTTGTATCGAAATATATTTACATTACACCAAACAGCACTTCAAGTCTAAGGATATCAAACTCGAAACAAAGAAAGTAGACACCTTGTGACAGAATTATCAATCAATTCTAAAGTAATTGACAACTGAATAGTAATTAGTGACATTATCTAGTTCTCCTAGTGCTTAACCTTAACCACTTTCAACTTACGATAACTAACAACCCAATATGTAAACATTCATTAATCATGTGGAAACTTAATTCGTTGAAACTTACTACGTTTGATAATATGTCGCTACATAACTGAACACTTTTGGTTGACTGATAAGTCATTTAAGATCGTTAATGGAGTATATTTTTACATGTCTGTTCAATATCCGCTGATCGGTAGAATACGGCATGTAAAATCACTCTAAATCATTCTGGAAGATGTTTGAAAGTATAATACAAGCGTAGATTACCTGAGTTCTATAAAACGACAGAAGACTTATCGCTATGCCCTAAACAATTAACAGGGATGAATTACAGAATTATTACTCTGACACTCAGATCTGTCACACAAGCAAATTTATTCCGTGCATTCAGAAGTAACGAAACGTGGAGTCAACTGTACTTCAGACCTATTGATAGCCTAAGATTTAAGTTGAGATTCGAAAGAGCATTCGCCTTATCTATACATCTTGCAGCAAATAAATTGCAAAACTAGATGCGAACTAAGTATGCAATCAGTATATTCGATGATTGACTTGATCATAACAGCGACCAAAACACCTAAACAATGGAATGGAGATAAAGGAAAACATACGTGAAACATAGGGCACAATCTGTACGAAAATAAGGGAGAAACGTGCATAAAATCTGCTCTTTAGCCTGCCGTGTGGAAATAGTGCGACATTTCCTCTTCTAGTCGATGTATATAAATATGCGTTTTACTAGACATTCCAAATTCACGTGAATGTGAATGTTTCATGAATAAATCTACAAAACTAACTAACAAGGATAGTTGACCTTAACTTCGATTCATAAACATGAGTTTAGTTTACGAGAATATGACTTGCACACAACACATGAAGGTACCATCGCACTGTATTCCGGTCGGTAACATGAACAAATGCTGGATCACAAACTGGTTTTCTAGCAATATCATCTACTTACAACTGGAAAACTGTAGCATACTGAAACGGGGCAATGCTATAACAAGTGATTTGTGAACAGGATATCAAGGAAGCTATTTATCAATTTGTAAATGTCATTTACGGAAGTAAAAACGAGGCGCTGAAAAAAGCAGACACTTTGCAGAAGAATTGCACGAAATACTGGCATTAAATCTCACCCGCGGAAACCCATAAATACGTTGAGTATATTACCAGACTGCGACCGTTTCGCGAAACATCAAACGTTCCGCCGAACTTCAACCTTATCCAAACTATCCAATGTGTTTGCGACGATCTAACATTGTAATTAGTCCAAAATCTCGCCAAACGAACTCCCATTTTCGGTTTTGTATTGATTTTAAATGCGTTATTGTCAATTATTTTCTATTGCTTGAATCATTAAAATTAGGTACATTCAAAGTATTTATGTAGTTTGATATGAAATATCATTGAGAAGTGCTCGTATAAACCAGTTAATCCTTCTTCTGCTTTAGCTGGCCCATGCACAACTGGTCATCATCTGCTACCCAAACCTATGCTAACTTACGTTGTATATGGTAGTAAACGTACTATAGTACCTGGATAATAAAAAAATCTACTTAAGATATTCAGCTGAAGTTGTGAGTTCCACGTAAGCTTAGAAACCATACTGTTCCCGTCCAACTCGAACAAACTGCGATCATTTACAGAGACAACATATATTGTTGACCTACAAATCATTTAACAGTGCAATCATAACAAATAATCTGGATTGTAAGCATAAAATATGATAAGGAGATAAAAAGGAGTGACATGCTAACAAGCGGACAGTATGTGAAAACGGTAATAGAAAATAATTTGTGATTCATGTGTAATGACCTACTTTTATGAAGAGAAAACGATTGGTATAATGGAAACAACTGAAGATGCCACAGGTATTCGGAGTTTGACAACGCTTTAACCAGTAACACTCTCTAATATGAATCGTACCTACCAAGTGAAAACAAAAGACAGAAGCGAGGAGGTTCGGAGATATATTTGACAGGCTACCAATATATCGTGGATAGTTTGATCTAGTTTGGCTAGTGATTGCAGTGGGGGTGTTGAGCACGGCGTTCCCGCTCGTGATCTGGGGCGGATGCATGACCGAGCGCCTACAGCTAAGTGAGTCCATTAAAACTAATGTGGTCAGCAACCAATGTCGAAAACTAACAGAGCTATTTATTTTGGGGATTTATTTACCGCTACAGATCCTCCCTAGTGGAGTAGTGATGACCCTAAGACGTGGCCAGCTAGAAGTCTAAACCCAACGAGTTTGTCGGTGGTAAACACTCTTCTGATAGCTTGCTAGGTTTAACAGCGTCTGGTCGTCCTTCCTTACTATAAGGGATCATGAAGTACAATATAGTAAAAAAAATAATGTATATTGAAAAGTTTTGGTTCCTCGTAAACTTCATCGTTCTTTTTCTCGTCTTTTCCAGCCGGCCTGGAAAAGAAAAAACAATATGTAAGTGCATGTCGGAATAAACTCGTACGCACTTTAAGACACAATGTGGGCGAAAAAACGAAAATAAACTCATGTACATGTGATAGCGTAAAATCGATTCTTACAAAATGTTTTTTTTAATTTTTTAATATACATATTAGCAAAATAATAAATATATATAAATATAAGCATATAAAAATTGATTTTTTTAATATTATATATAATGCCATGGAAAATCGAGATGAAGCAGAATGTTGGCTGGCGTCTTACGTGCAATAATCGTTCAAATGTTCTGGAAATCTTACTCTTCTTCCAGAACGCGATGTTTTAAGTTTATTTTCAGAAACTGTCGAAGTATCATCGTGCGTGTTGGCTGTCGGCTGAGGTATTATAAGTGTAGGAGCCCTGTCGTTCGATTGTACCAAAGGAAAATCGACGTGGATAGGATTTCCTTCCAAATATGCTATCGTTAATTCCGTTCTTATTGATTATACAGTACTTAGGTTCACGTTGAAGAACTTTGAAAGATCCTTCGTATGCTAATTCGAATGGTCGTCTATGAGAGTCTCGACGAACGAAAACGTGTGTACTATAGCGTAACTTAGGTCGAACGAAAACATCAGTTGATCGCGGTCGAGTGGAAACAGGTTTAACAGAACGCACTGCGTTTGTAAGCCTGTTCGTGTAGGAGGTTAGATCCATGCTCATTGAAGAGGATGAAGGATCCACGAATTCTCCTGGAAGTAGAAGTGTCGTTCCACAAACGAGTTGAGCCGCAGAGTATCCAATGTCAGCTTTCACTGCATTGCGGATACCTAGTAAGACGAGTGGAAGATCGTCGGTCTTTTGTGAAACGTTTGCAGCTGACAGCGAAGCTTTTAGTTGTCAGTGAAAACGTCCTACCAACCGGTTTGCTTGTGGGTGGTAGGCGGTCGTTCGGAAGCGAGTGATTCCTAAAAGTGTGGTCAGACGACGGAAAAGTTCAGATTCAAACTGACGTCAGCGGTCTGTAGTGATGGTTGAAGAGCAGCCGAAGTTTTCTACCCATCGTTCGACGAAGGCGCATGCCACTGTTTCAGCAGTGATGTCCTTGATAGGTACTGCTTCTAGCCATCGAGTGAAACGGTCTAGGCAGGTTAAGAGATAAGAGTATCCATTTGAATCTGGTAAAGGTCCTACTGAATCCAGGTGGATGTGGTCAAAACAAGCGTCCGGAGTTTTGAAAGAGCCTATGTTACGTCCACGTTTTTGGTCGTTCCCGTTATTGAAGTACGGTATATCGATCTATCTGCAATTTACGAACCCAAATTAACAATAAAACCAAACACCAATTTAGATACCAAAGTTTATTCACAAGTTACAAATAGTCGACCCAAATGTCGCTCTAACAACAATAATCATAACAATTCCAAAACAAACCTTCAATTTTGTAGGTTCCCGGAGCAAAAACTCTCAAATACCAAACCAGTGACTAAGAGAAACCAAAATGTCCAAAAAGAATGATATAAACAAACAAGTTCAAAGGTTAAGTAAAACAAATACATTCAAAAACACAGTAAAATTATTGATGTACAATAAAAACGTTCTAGTCAGTCAGATGTCTGCAGTTCCCTCGTAACAGCCCAAGGGACATTTGTTGTGTCTGATAACCTTAGATGTTTGGCAGCTTACATAGAAGCGTGCCCACTCCCTCATATCGTTATTCATACCAGGCCACGAAAACCGTTCTGCTATTAACTTGATTGTTGCACGAACACTTGGATGAGAAAGTTTGTGCAACGTATTGAAGACGTTGCGTCGATAGTGTTTCGGTACGATTGGGTGATCCCTACCTGTAGATGTATCACAAAGTAAGGTTTGCTTACCTGTTCCCATCTGTTTGATGCGCAGCTTAAGTGTTGTAGACGACAACTCGTGCTGAAGATCAGTGTCTACTTTTTGAAGCTGGGCGAGTTTAAGAAGGTCGATTCCTTGGAAACTGTTCAAGGAAGTCATCAGTCTCTCGTGGTCTAGAGACAGATCGCTTACATGAAGTGCTTCTTCTGGAGGGGTGGCCGTTTATGGTTGTTACGAAATTCAAGATAACAAGTAAAGGTATGACATAACTCTGTAATGTCATTCTGGGTCGTTTGAAGCTTTTATTTGACTGAAAGAACCACGACATTAGATTTATTGATTTCTAAGATGCAGTCGGCAGATGCAGCCAGCTTGTCTGAGGCGTTGTTTTGAAACGAGACCCGCACAGCTTGCACCTGTTGAAGAAGTTTGGATAAGAAAGGTTTTTTGAATAGGCCATCATCGAAGGTTCTTTGGCCGATAACCTCTCTCATTCTTTGCAACATGTCTGTCGTAGAACCGTGTTGCAAGTCCATGTTATTAAGAAGTTGGTCTAAACTTTGTCTATCGGTTAGGTCTCCGCGTTTATGGATAGATCGTTTCAGTACTTTGCAGGATTCAGAAACATCACTAGCAAACATACCAAGTGTTAAGTACCTGCTGAATTCGCGTGGTAGTGCCCTGACTACTGTGAGGAATTGTGCACGTGTGTCGTTTACGCCGTGCGCGTAGAAGTCGGCTTCTGCGTATCAGAACCAGGCAGCGATGTTGTTTGGTCAGAAGAGCATCAGTTGGAACGAAGTTGGGGGCATAATCTTTAGCTTAGGTACCTTGAGTGTCTATTCAGTCAATGTGAAATATGAAGTACGGGAATGAAAGAGTGAATAATATATATTTCCAAAATCACGATGTATGAAAAATTGAAATAAGGCAATGATTTATAAAATCCCAAAAAGGAACAGACTCACAGTTTGCAAGTTGGTGTACCAGATCACGTCAGGCTCACCAATGAAGATGCCACCGGTAATACTGTACCTGTTTACTAAACTGTACTAAAATCATACCTTCTTCCGTCAACTGTGATCTTGCAAGCCTTCGTTTAAGACACGTAGTCCCGCTTGTACGATTTGGCACGATCTCCGTAAGAATTTGATACCACGAGATTGCCAATATATATTCTATTACGACAGTCAATTCCCTTTTAGTATTTGATCCATGAAGAGATCATACCTAATATCTCATATCTCATCTTCCTGTAGTGGTGCTAATACTCAAAAACGAACTGAAGCCTACGACAAAAGCACGATATCCATCAAGTTAATCACCAGTGAAACATGTACATTGATGTGGAATGGATATTACTGTTCATATCACATTCTGGATATCAACCATCTCGTCGAACACAGTCGACAGCATTTCCTAACAGTAAAAGAATCAACTCGAAACCACTACTCAGCCACATTCGTTTTACCTAATGATCACTGTCTAGCCACTGTACTATTCATGAATGTATGTTGAATTATTTGATTCATTTATTCCAATCCATACACCTAACTACTTGCTTTCATTTATATGCATTATCAACTAACGAATCATATGACTTCACAACCTCCTGATTCATCAAGTGATTCACCTAGTAATCATAACAATGATTCCAAATATTTTGTGATATTTACAAATATAACATGAAACACAAATTTCGATTATCAAACAATGTGATGCATTTCATGGTTGCAGGAAACATCCATGAGGGATACAATCACTCTCTGACGTATCACCTAATTTGATTCAACACATTAGAACATAAGAACAGCAAAGCACCAAATAAACACTTATCAGCAGTTTAAATAATCTGTCCGGAATTACTATCTAATAGACTTTGGTGAGATTTCGCCTATTGTCACATAGATCAGTTTGGTGTAGAAATTCGTGATTTATCCAACTTGATTTCTCTGCTG